CACTTTGTGAGAAATTGCGTAAATTTTGCTCTAATCCCTAGGAATTCTAACGCTCAGTTGTTCAGCATTACAGTTCATCCTCCAATTGTGAAGTGAAAGCTATAATGTTACATGTACGTGTGTAAATTGAATTACAGGAATATTAAATCAGTTAGACTTTTACTTTAATTTCATTCTCAAGGCTTTACTTGTCTGAACTTTCTGTCTCGCGCAATCAAGTGCTCGAAAGTGCAAAGTGTAACATTACTTTCAGATCACGGCCATCTCGGATTCGGGCGGTGATGTAACTTCTTTGGAATCTCAACTATGGGGTGTACAGACCGCAATCACGGCTTTAAAAAGACGATTGAAGGTACTTGTTTTATACATGTTACAATTCTTTTTCATATTTATTGAGAAGAATATGAATTTTTTTGAATGCTGTCCAGATAGTACTAATAGATGACAGTGCGATTCGTGCGATTCTGTTGGACAGCGGTTTTCTTGAATTTGCTTTTCATTTTCTCTATCGCACTTATCATTTTCTTGATTCCGTGGAATTTTTTTGTTTATGTACGGGAAGAATTTGGCGGGCACAAGAAAGGATGCTCACGTCTTCCTTTTTCTTTTTAGAAATTTTAGCAGATAATTATTCTACTCATTACTTCCGATCAGTTCCATCTTGCAGGCGGTGGCTGAGCCTACACCATCAACCATAAGTCCTTCATCTAATGATAAACCCTGCATGGAAATGTTCGAAGAGAAACAGTTGATGGCTGTGCAGAGTATGCTGAGACAAGACATCTTAGAGGAGAAGCGTCGCATAGCTCGTCTATGCTGGAAACTACGTCAAAATAAGGTAGAAAATAGCGAGCATGTGGAAATTCCAGAAGAACGTCCAGGGAGTGATATTCGCAAGGTAAAGGAGGAAGACTCGGAAGAGGTTAGAGCTATTCCTAAGCTTCTTCGCCCTAATCCTCTCTAAGTTCTAAATGTTGCATGATCTATGAGAAAAAGCCCAACCGGTGTAATGCCTTGGTAATTAGTTAGCAAATCTTTTT